ATAGACATACCTCAAATCGAAATTTGTTGTCAATTTACAAAAGGGGATAATATTGGGAAAAACGGAATTATTTTTAAAAGACTTGATTGTTCAGGAGGTCGTGGGTTCGATTCCCGCCGACCGAAGACCCTCCATGTAGTAAATGGTGAGTGACGAACGTTAAATCTGTCTAGTCGCAAAGTCCTCCCTGTTCCCATGACAAATCAATACCTCTGGGAGTACTGATGCAGGACTTTCCTTGTCGTCAGGATTGGTTCAAAATTTCTAGGCAACGGAGTTGAACATTAGTAGTCGTAAACCCAAAACTGGGTCGACTGTTCAACAACAGTTATAAATCTTAAAAAAGAAAGAAAAATTGATGAATTCTAAGTTTTTGCTGTTGTTGTAGTTCATTTTATGTCGCACTAGAGCTGCACAATGGGCTATTGGCGACGGCCTGGGAAACATCCCTGAGGATGATCCGAAGATATGCGATCACAATTTTGATCCTCTGCAGAGGGGATGGCGCCCCCTCTTCGGTAGCCCGGTGACCTGCATGCGAAGTCAAGCACTTTATGGTAGAACAGTTAAACGAGAACCAATATCGAACACCCTCGGTCCCTACGCAGACTGATCCAAGTGGTCACCCACCCGCACGCTGACCGCAGTCAGTGATTCTTGACTTCGGTGACCTGCCGGGAACCGTGTCTTAACAATCAGTCCACTGCGGAACGATGAATTCTAAGATGAAAATAATCGCAGAGGAAAAGTCGGCCGTTTTTAAATAAGAAATGAACTACTGACACTTTCATCAGCTTTTTTTTAAAAAAAAAAATTTGTGAGAAATTCTTAGAACACATTTTAAGATAAACTTAGTAAAAAACGAACATAATATCTGGAGAATTAACTAAGGCTATGTCAACTAGATTCTCGTAAATTGCAACCAATATTTTAGTTTTTACTTTTTCGTGTAGAATCCTAAAAAAATTTCGTTTCTTAAAATTATTTTTCAATTATTTTATGTATTTTTCTGCATAGGGTAAACCAACCAGTGAAGGAACATTTCATATATATTGATTAAAAATAAGAATTTGAAAGTTTTTCTCTAGATTTATTGGTAACAATAGCTTACTGCCAAACAATTGGAAGTCATCTAGCAACAATTCGGATTACCTGGTCAAATAGACTTCTCTGGAAAATTTTTTGAATTTGTTATTATCTCCGCAACACCATGTTTCTTTGAAAAAATTATAAGGTGAGTGTTTGTATTTATATGTTAAGTGGAATTAATTGCATGTAATAGTTTTATTTTTCTCACTGTGAAAAAGAGAATTCGAAATATAGTTACTGAAGTTACGTTTTATTTTTTTTTAAGCATCATAGCATAATAAAGTACTGAGATAAGGGGGTGTTTATTCACTGGATCACCAAAAGATGAAAAATCAGTGAAGGAACAAGTGTTCCTTTACTGGATTTTTTTTCTAAGTTAATGAAAATAAAAGATAAACTTTAATTTTCTTGTACCTTTAGTGATGTTCCGCGTGAAAAGTATGTTAAAAATACGAAAAACAACTTCTAACCAGTGAGGGAACAGGCATGTTCTTTTACTGGGCTTAGATTCCCCAGTGAATGAACAGTATGTGTTAATATGTTGACACTTTAATTTTCAATTCATGATTACAAAAAAAGGTTAATATTTTCCAAGTATCTATATGTTATAATTTCAAGAATAGGCTTGTTTTTAAATATTTGTATGGCTTATAAATTCATACAGAGCATTAAAAAATAACCAGAATTAAGTGTTCCTTTACTGGGTGTTCATTCACTGGTAAGAGCTGTTCCTTCACTTGGTCTTCTTACTACTTGTTATTTGAACCTCCAAAACTTTAAAACAATATTATGTAAGTTCTCAACAATTTTTTTTACATAATTTGCAATTAGTAGCAAATATGTTGACACTGACACTGTCATTTAACTAAAATTACGAATTTTGAAATTAATATGATTTTTTAAAAGGCAAGCGAAGCTCAAGTGTTCCTACTGGTTAGTTAACCCTACTTTCATATTTTCAAAGTTCTAAGGCTTAAAGTTTTTGCTAATAAACAAAACCAAATGCAACGTTAAGTTGAATAACCAAAATAATGAGAGTGGCTCTTACGACTTTTTGTTGAGATGTTGTATGAACTTTCGTTCACTCGTAGTTAAATTTTATTAATTTGGAGGCTCGGCTCACCCACCCTGTTATTAATTGCTTCTCATTCATCATTGTTTATTTCTTCTTCAATATAAATATTTCCCACAAAAACACAGCATTTTGATTTCAAAATATGCAGCAGTTATTGTAGATTTATGTATTGTAGCGAAATGGACGATTATTTGGGTTTGAAAATAATCATATATGCTTGGAAAAAAATTAGCTTAATACAGATTGTGAGTCTTAATAAAAAGAAATAAATGTGAAGTAATTCTAATCGTTGAAGAGATTTAAAACAATTCAAATAGGGAGCGGTTTTTTTATCTCTATTTAGTATTAAATTCTTTTCTTATTTTTAAAAATTTCGATATAAATGTTTATCTAGCAAAATAGAACCTTTCTCTTTTGATCGACGTCTACTCGAATACGAGCTTATAAAATAAAGATTTCGTTCCAGAAAAATGAATTTTCAACAACAATGAATAAATAATATTTGAATAAAGAAGCTAATAAAACTACTATAAGGATTTGTAATAACTTTCGTACAGATTGAAATATTTTTTAAAAAAAAACTTGTAAAATTACAATACAAAATTATGCTAATCATCACGTCAAATTTCAACTCTGTGTTGTTTTATTTTAGCGGACAGTAGATCAACCAGTATATTTTTTTAACTACAAGTTTAACAGCTAATCATTCTCGAACTAATAGTTAAAACTGGAATTTTTTTTATTCCATAAATTTTTTTTACGCATTTTACACAATTTCAAATTTCTGAGTCTGATAGATTTTGAGCAGTAAAGCAAAATGTAACGTAAAGAAAATAATTAGTACAAAAAGAGAAAGAACTTCGGAGAAAAAACTATAGAAATAGTTAGTACTTTTAGTTTATGAATAAATGTGGTTCTTTAAATGCGTCGAATTCCAACTCTGTGGTTGCATTTTTGGGGCTGGTAAAGTGGCCAGTGTAGTATTTTTTCCAACAAGGTCAACATTCACGAGAAAACTATCGAATTTAAATTATTTTTATCCTATCGTAATTGCTGTACACTTTTCTATAAACCTTTATTTTAGATTTTATTTTATAACCGTCGTTGAAGAGCCGACCGTGGAGGGCTTTTTTGATGGAACTAACCAGCATTTGCGTTACACGGAGAGAAAAACCACGAATACCTCTCTCACGGTTATCCTGACGGCAAGGAGACTTCTTTAGATTCCTCGTCTTTTCATTGTGCTTAACTGAATTGTTTTCACTCTAAAAGAACGAATTAAAGATTTTGTTGACAAAGATTTAATCATCCATTTTTTGTTAATGTAGTCCTTAAAAATGATTTTGTAATTAGTTGACAAACAAAATTCAATTTATCAATTAGCTGCATGCTTTATATTGTAATAAAAATTAACTTCAGTCATGCTTTTTTACGGGAAAATAAATGAGATTATTACAGTTTCTATTCGAAATTTGTAAATAACTATATTTTACGAAAAAATATGAAACCTATCTCTCCCAAAAAATTTCGATACGAATTCTTTAGGTCTCTTGACTGTGAATAACTTTTCACAAGAAATAAAATTTTAAATAAAGTTCTCTTATTAAGTACAAAAAATAATACCTGCTCACTCCTTCTTTTTAATATTTTATTTAACAGCTTCCCTGACTATCCCGAGTTAACTCGGGTATGTATATATTGCAACGATTTATTATCCCGAGTAAACTCGGGTATGTATATATTGCAAAGATTTATTATCCCGAGTAAACTCGGGTATGTATATATTGCAAAGATTTATTATCCCGAGTAAACTCGGGTATGTATATATTGCA